ATTGAAAATTTATTGAGCGTCTTGATATTTTTACTAATTTTTGATTTTTTTTAAAGTACAAATTAAATTAGCTTTTAGCAGTTCTCGCTTGCGTTTATTGCGAAATTCGATCACTCGAATGATTGTTTCATTGACTAAGGAATGAAATCGCAGATCGCATAGATCTCCTTCTCGAAACCCATGCAGACAACGGAGGAGATGATGAGGATCGCACCGGTTAGACTAGTCGACGTGGGCTTCTCACCGAACAGGTAAACCTGAATCAGATAGGCCAGGATGATATCCAGCGATCTGGTGACCGATACCTTACCCGCGCTCTCAATCTTAAGCGCCTTTGTGACCAACACCTGACCGGTAAGGCCAGTCAACGCCACCAGCAGAATCTGGCTCCAGGTGAACCAATCATGAGGTAATCGAAACTTGTGGAGTTCATGATCAATACCGTGTCTGGACACTGTGAAGTAAAAAACCACAGCAGAGACGAACGACCAACACGATAGGTTTAACACCAGAATGGAGTAATGTATCTCCGAGCACTTTCTCATGACGACGATGTTGAGCGCCGTGAAGAGAGTAGCCAGAATGGCACACAGATATCCCATAAGATTATAGCTCTCGGCACGATGCATCTAGAAGAGAAAAATTATTCTCGAGGAATCATTCTTGAAGACTATGATGAGCGTTTTTTTGAAATCATTACTTTTTTAATTTAATTTGAATTTAATAATAAGAACAAGAATTCATTTCTTTAACATAAAAACAAAGACTTTGTATATTTGTTTAATTTTGTTTGCCCTTTGTACGAATTCTTTGTAATCTGAATGACATTTCAGATTAGATATTACTAATTGTCAATTATTAATATTGTTTTTACATAGTAAATGAAATTTACTCAGCTTTGTCTGTTGAGTTCGTCCTTGGCAAATTAATTTTGTATTCAGTAATAAAAATTAGATTACCTGAAATAAAAAAGGTGGTCTGGCAACAAGGACAACGCCTGTCAGGAGTGTGCAGACTACTAGTATACGCAGAACACCGCAGGGTTCTTTTAGGAAGAGGAAAGATAGCGCGATGACGATCACTGGTGAGCTGAAAATGATCGTGGTAGCATCACCTAAAGGTAATTCTCGAAAGCTATAATACAGCAACGACAGGGTCATGCCACCTACTAGGCCCTGGAAAAAAGAAAAAAAATGTAAATCAGTATAGTGGCTTAGCGATCGCATAAAAAACAGAATTTTTCGTTCTAAAAAATGCTTCTCTTTAAATTATTACAATGTATTGATAATAGTAGTACATAAAAAGAGTTTATATATTAAAGAATATTGTTAATGAGTTTTGTTTTATTATCCCATAATTTTTCTGAAGAGTTTAACTTCGCTAATGTGAACACAGGTAATGCAAATGAATAATATTCCGTTGCCGACTTTCCGGCTTAATACAATTAATATGGTATGATGGTGTAGAAAAGCTGTGGATGCCTGCAGATAAGCTCATGATCATTTATATGTAATCAGATAAGAAGAGAGTGACTAGTTTTGTAATGACCGACATTTCTCTCATGAAAATAGATTGACGAGAAATACCAATTATGTTACAAAATTAAAAACTTTGGCAGATCCAAATATCTTAATAAATCTAGAAACTATATTATCTTCGCAGATGATACATCATGTTCAGACGAGCAAACTTTACCTGAAAATGTATGAGTATTCTTTGGCCGGAAGGGCCGAAAAGATTGCTGGACGATTTGCAAGCCACGACAGCCATTGCTAGGATCTGCGTCAAGGCACGAATGACCAACAAAATCATGGGATCCACATGACGAATCGCTTTGACTAAGGCGGAACTGATGGTAAAGAAAGTTCCTGATATAAACGCCAGGAACACCCCGTACCACTTGGTGCCGTCCCGAGTTTCGCCATTGTTAGCAAATTGCTCAGTGTAGTGATAGGCTGGGTGGATGCTGTTGTAGGAAGCTGTGGACTCTATGCTGAATTTCATCGCGGTATGTATACTGAAACTACTGAAGCGAGAATACACGAAGATGACTGGCACTACGTAGTTTAAGAATTACTGTCATCGTCCACCTGTTGACACATCTGCGATTCTGTCTGCAATTAGCATAACTTAAACGACCAACGGATTATTACGGATTAATGACGTTAGGAAGATTCGGATGAGTGGAGCGACGACTGTGAAGATGAGAGACTTGTCGATAAAAGAATACACGCTGATAAAAGAAAAAAGAGATTGCTTTTTGGGACACACAGAAGAGAGTTGCGAACATGATCATCTAATTGAGATGAGAATGAGATACATAGATATACATTCGAAGTCATCTTTATTCGATTGCAATTTTCCAAACTAATCAAATTAAACACGAATTTTTTAGATATGTTATTGATAAATGTATTTTGTTGTTGATTAACATTTATTTTATTTATGATTAAAATCAGTTTATTTCATAAATAATAATTAAACTTTTGTCTTTTATTAGTGTAAAGATGTAAATTAATCATGATAGAGAAAAATATTGAGGTTTTAAAGAATTTTTAAAAGATCTTCAAGGCTCTTCTAAAAGATACATATCCGAAAAATATCCAGAAAATGTTCAGAAATATTTTGTTGTGAAGTTATACATTATATCTTCAAAATAATTCTAAAAGATATTAATAACCATCATAGAAGATATTTTTAATTTAAGATATTTTGTAATAGACATGTTAGAAATATGTAAATAATATCTTTTAAAGAATAATTAAATTTAAATATTAAAAAATAATAAAACAAAATTTTTTTTTAATTGTGACGTTATAGAACAATTTGATAAACGAAAATACATTCAGCACCGAAGAAACTGGGAAACGATCTTTATTCTCATCTTCATCTTGTGCATTTTTTTATAGAATAATGTAATAGAATGAAATACTGGAGAGCCTATTAATGATTTTATAAAAAAATTATTTAAAAAAAAAATTTGCGAGCTTATAGAACGTAAATTTTTTTTTTTAAATAATTTTTTAATAAAATCATACGAGATCAATAGGTAGCTTAAATATATCTAGTATATATATATATATCTAATAGATGTTACAAATTCTATCTGTCTATATTTTCATTTTTAGATGAAGATAATATATTTCTCTATTAGAGAAATATAAGAAAATTCTAAATAAAAAATTAAAAAAATGATTTATTTAAATAAACATCTTACATCTTTTATTTTCATGTATAAATGTAGATTAATTATAATAGAGATGACCCAGCAAATGAGAATAGAATAAAATGGATTGAAATTTTTTTCTATCCGAATGCGCATTTTAAATAGCAAATTTTTTTTTGAATTTAATTGGATTCAATTGGATTCAATTAGATTCAATTGGATGCAATTGGATTGAAAAATTGCATTTTCTATTCAAAATTTTGAATTGGAACAGTATTCATAATTCTGTTTGTGTGCACAGAAAAAGTTAATATTATTTTTAGATTGAAAGACATAGAGATATGCTCCATGCAATTTCTATGTGAATGAAAAAAAATCTTTCTAAATGAATAAAAATACATTCAGAATTGAAAAACTTTCATTTTAACATTCGTGAATCAATAATATTTCTGAAAATCTGAATTCATTTCAATTCATTTCAATCCATTCTCGTTTGCTGGGAAATCAATAAAAATAAAAATTGCTTAAGCTTGAAAAAAAAACATGAGAAATACGAGAAATATAATCTAAGATATAAAAAAAGAGAAATTTAAAAATGATAAAATTATAGTAAAAATGTCATAACTACAGCAATATCATATATACAGGATAATTGCTCCTAGAAAACTCATCATTAGAGCCCGGATTATCTGTTGTATCTATTCGAATCGACCATAGTGTCCTCACGATTCTACTCACTGCCATTTCGCCCAGTGATTCTCAGAATTTTAATTCGGGCTCTACTTTCATTGATATTAAAACTTTTTAAAACATGATAAAACAAATGGTCTAACGTCATTAACTGTTGATGCTCTTGTTAATGATTTCTTAAACAAGTAAAATTTATCATTTCATGAAATACAGGTACGGGATTAATACGATAAAGCTTCGTTGCTGGAGAAAAATATCCTAAATACTCCGTATTAGTATTATTTGATTCAGTTTCGTGATAATACCCGCCGCCATCGTTAGACTTAGCATGGACGTGCCATTGATTAAAGTAAATATCCTGGAAAGTATCAGTATTATTACGAATAATTCACGACATATCTGTTTTGAAGTTTATAGATATCAATATTACTTTTTTGAGTGGCATTACTTTGTGTCTGTCTGCGCTAATAAACGTGGCAAATGCCACTACAGACGAAGTTTGATTTTTCCAATATTTAATGCAATAACGAATTTGTTTTTTCTTTCTTATCGGAATTTTCCAATTGTTTTTTATGATATGATGTATTGTTTTTCCGTTTTTTATTATGAATGTACCGCCGAAACCTGTAAGACCAAAAAATTCGTTTGTCTTTTATTTAACGACAAGCTTAATTAATATATCTCTGTGAATTTCTTCTGGTAATGAATGGAAAAGAATGGATAATTATACGTTCAAGATTCTCTTCCTTTTTTTATAAATTTTGGATACAAAAACAAGAGACACGATTTTATAAGCATTTTTTTAGCACAACTAAATATTGAAATAATTTCTCGTAGCTGATATTTTCTTACTTTCTTAGCGACTACTATGTCAAAATTGTGAAGTACATGGATAAATTTAGACAGAGATGTTATAGCATTTAATGTATAGTTATACATTTATTTATATTTTTTTTTAAATTCATATTTGTCGAATAAAAAATTACATTACTTTTTA